CACTGAGTTATAATGAAATAACTTGATTTCCCCAATGACTGAAAGACCTTTGAAACTCACTACATGAACACATCCACACCACTGCACACAAGCAATAGTATATACATGGAAAATACAATTGAAACTGAAATGCTCTGTAAACCAATAACAGCATAATGACTAAGTCATGTGAGAAGCACTCACTTAACTACCAACTGTAAGCATGGACACCAAGAAAAACAGTTGTTCCCCTCATTTATCTTTGTCAACAAAACACAGGAGGAACAGGATCCTTTCCACACAGTATGCCATTCCAGGACACAGAACTATAAGTGACAATATTCTGAGCATAATACTTAGGTTCATAAAACAGCAGTTGGGACTGAGAATTACAATTGTGTGCAGCAAGTGATTGCTTTCGATGTTACTTTAGTCTCAATCAGATGGCCTTGGAATGTTCAGCTCTCTCTGACCATGTCATGTTGTTGATATTCAGTCTTTCCTAATTTGAATAAACCATGTGAAAGAGATGGAAATGAAAACTGGAATCCCCATTTCAACGTGTTCCTAGCCTTGAACTTGTCCTAAGGAAGAGCCAACGCCAGTCCCTATCCCCTGTTGCAACATAATGTGCAATAAAGAAGAAACAGGGCACGCCTGCTGTCCATTAACTTTGTTAGACCAAATGCCTCTAAAAAGGCAATCTATAGAATCCCAAACTCAAAATTCCACATTGCTTACTACAATGTCAGTCTCTTTATTTTATCAACAAAATACATGGTTGTATCTGTTTCTCTTACATAATATATCTCAGTTGAACTAGAAATTCTAGAACTGTTTCAGCAAGAAATTTCCAGAGAAGTCCCACTTGGATATTCAAATAGTAACTGAGCTAGAGACCACAACACATGGTAATATTACTAAATTCAAGATCCGAGGCAAGGGTATATCTGTGGGCCTGGATCTGAAATGCTCTCTGTCTGGGATATGATTTTAATCTCATTTTCAACAATGATATTTTTGTCTATGTGTAACGGGACAAGCCCGTTTTTCCATGCTCAGGGAACTGGTATTTGATTTACATCTACAGAGGCTGCTCCTAACCCATAAAGTGAACCAAATTCAGCATGCCTATCCTAGCTCCTTACTCGAGCTTTGCCCACTAGCTGTCGAGACAGGTCAGGGCTATTATAAGCCCAAAAGCAGATGGGCTGTTAGAAGGAGGACTCATCCACCTACTGAAGTGATCATATCTTACTCTTCAGCAAATGTACCTTCCACACTTCCTCCATCTGCTCAAGCAAGTGAACATTGATTCTGAACTAACAGAAAGTACCTTCCCCACTAGGCTACACCCACCATCAAGCAGGGCAGGGAGGGGGCAAAAAGCAAGGTGGCTGCCCAACCTGCTGGGACCTGCCTGAAACCATGGTGCTGACTTAGGAAGAGCTTTCCACGTGTAAAAACCCAGACGGCAATGTGTCCTTACCTGACAAGGGCCTGTGTCCTTACCTGATAGGGGTAGTTGTACCAGCAATGCCTTGTATTCCACAGCCAGGGGGTCTGAAAACATGACAGAGAAACCATTTTACATGTTTTGGAAAAGAAGCAGGATAAGAGATGTTTATGACAGATTCTGGCCTCCCAATGTTTCGGAATTTCAATAATCTACCTGCATGAGAACTGAAGGACCTAGTACAATCGGGAATGGGAGAGCAAAGCAATGAAGAGTCCATCATGCATTCTCTCTGGGGAATCTTCTAAACTCAACCGGCAGTATTTCAGGCTACTTCTAGGATAGGGTCCTGGATGGCACTTTTTTATATTGTGCTGGCTCAGTAGACACATTCCTGCAAGGTAACCAGCCTCAGCAGCAGAGTTCTTCAAGTGTCTCACCAAGATCCATTACAAATCCTCCATCTCACTGTTATCAATAAACAATGCTGACAGTTGATGCACATTTCTTTGAAACTCCTCCAATTCACTGTTTCCCAAGCAACTTAATTGTTTCATGCCTTGACTGGGGGTCAGTAGCAGGCAGGGACACTTATTTCAATCAGACTAGCTCTGACTAATTCCAGGCTTGAGTAGATTAACCCTCAGATTAACCCTACACTCCACCCCGGACTTGTGGTCAAGGTCTTTCAAAGAAAAAACAAACCTCCTTAATTTAACAGACTCACTTGCCTTACCACATTGTAAAATTAAAGAGAACATCTAAGTATGCACACAGATGCCAAACATTTTTAATAAGCAGGTAGGTTGGTATGGATTTGAACAGACAGCTCAACCATCCCCTAACACCAGCACAAACTTTCTCATATTTCTGTACTAACTTCACAATTCTTTTGCATCCCTGATATTGGTGGTATACATCTACATACATCTGATACACATCTGTATGTTTCTTACTATTAGGAAACATAATCTATCATTAATCCAATCTGTGTGTGGGTTTATACATCTCAAAATGATAAAACTGTCATTGAAAGATTAATGTCAGATATATCTGTACTGACCTAACCTTCCTGTTTGGTCCCAGGTTCTGTAAGAGCGAAAGTTGCTCCCATCTGCACTAGCATAATTTAGTTGTCTCTCTGAAAGCCATAGAGGTATCTTTCCACCTTGCATTGATGATGATGAGGATGAGGAGGATATTAGAGAGTACTTGTAGAGTCCTCCCTATGACCACACACTTTTTTTGAAGGATACATTGTTTTTTGAGAATTTTCCTCCATGATCTATTATTTATTTAACCAATTAAAAAGTTGTTTCTCTTTGAAAGTGAAAGTGTTAGTCATTAAGTCGTGTCTGACTCTTTGTGATCCCATGGACAGTAGCCTGCCAGGCTCCTCTGTTCATCGAATTTTCCAGGCAAGATTACTGGGGTGGGTTGCCATTTCACAGTCACACGTATGGACTCATTTAATCCTTATAGTAAGTAGCAGTAGTATTTCCCTCATTTTATAGATAGGTAAATTCAGACCCTGCGCCCACAGTTAACTGCCCTGGTTAAACAGCCAGGCAGGACCAGAGCTGCATATCAAGCTCAGACTGTCTGGTCTCAAAGCCAAACATAGCCACTGTGACTCTGCCTTTAAGTCTGATAAAAACTGAACCAGGCCTTAGTTCAGGGAGCTAGGCAGAAGCAAAAAGCCATGCCATGCCCTAAACCTAACAATGTTCAGGGATCTTTACAGTCTTGTTTCATTTAGGTACTCCTGATTCTCCTTCCTTTTTTTCCTGCTTTTGCCNATGGCAACCCACTCCAGTATCCTGGCCTGGGAAATCCCATGGACAGAAGGAGACTGGTGGGTTATAGTCCATAGGGTCACAAATAGAGTCAGACACAACTTACAGACTAAACAACCACAAACAACAACCACTCTCAGGGCCATAGCTCAGCTTGTAAGCTTGCCAGTCAAACATTTAAATAAGCACTTGTGCACACTTATTTCACAATGCATGTTCGTGTGTACTTCCTACTTTGATGATACTAGATATTAACATATTCCATATGCTACATTTTTATAGGGACTCATGTTATAGTCCCTCAAACTCTTTGAGACAGAATAAATGCTGTCTTTCCCAGAAAACAGATGAGAAGACAAGTCCATGAAAAGGTGATTCTCCTAATTTCTAATGGCTCAACACAAGTGTATGAATCTGGATTGCTGCTTATAATTTAATGCATTAGGTATAACATCTTTAGTTTCAACTGACATCATAAATCTGTTGTTTTTTAAAAGCAGTTTTTTTCAGATATATTTCTGAGAGCAATTTCCTTGTTCATTTGATATAAAAATCTGTATAAGCATTAACATAATTAAGAACATAAAAAGCTGCAATATTTAGACATCAAGAAAGAATAATGGTGATGAAAAAACACACTGAAAGCCCTCATTTTATAAGGATGAGCCTAGCATCTTCCTACATAACTAGAGATAAGTTCTGAACCTAGGACGGTGCAAGGTGATTCACGCACATTTTCTGGAAATAGAAATGCCTTTTTACATGGCATTACAATAACAGGGGACAATATCAATGCTGGAAAATCCAAAAACTCAATGATTCTCAAACCTTGGCCTTCCAATAAGGACTCTTTTTATTCCCCCTCAAAGATATACTCTTAAATAATGATATGAAGCACTTTACAGATTTTAAAGTATTTTATACATATTACCTCATTTAATTTTCATAACAACATTGTAAGTGCTCAACTAACATAACATGCAGGTGCCAGAAAGGATAAAGAACATGTTGGCATGGAGGCCCTCTAACTATTAAAATGCAGGTTCTGATGCAGTAGGTCTGGCTTGGGGCAGATATTCTACATTTTTGACAAGTTTCAAGATGATGCTCAGACCTTGGACCACACTTTTGAGTAGTAAAGTGCTATAGAAAAGTAAGGAGGATGATCCAACTTGGTATTACCAGGTGTAAGACACTTTGCTAAGCACTTTGTTATAATATTTCACAATTCAATGTTAGCTGCGCAAATGAATGAATTATTTCTCATCTTTATAGTAGCTATATGGAACAGAAGTTGTTAGTAAAACAGTAGTTAGCTGAAGACAGTGCTTCTCAACTGACATCCCTGCTTGCTAGAACCACACACTTAAGATATATATTGTGGAAGAGATGTGAGCAGGGGTAACATGGGCCACTTTGGGATGCCAACCCTAGTGATGAATGTGAATGAGTTGTTCTCATCCTTTCTCCATTTCCATCAGAGGAAGATAGTAAGGGCTGGAGCTGTCATCTTTGACCCCGAGATAGAAGTTTCTGTTGATGTTCGTGTCAGAGGAATCCTACTAGCCCTGGTCTGCCTACCATGGACTATATGTGTGAGACAGATAAATTCCTATCATCTTCCTTATACATATACACAGAGACTGTACTCTCACTAATAGAGTCATCTAATAGTTGCAGGACCCACCATGGATTCCAAAATCCAAGGAATCCAGAATCCCGCATTTTGTTATGGTAGTCTGGGGTGACGTACACAGCATTGTAAGACAACTCTTCATATATGGTACTTAATAGCTATTAAATGTGTGTGTGTGTGCTTAGTCACTCAGTCGTGTCCGACTCTTTGCAACCCCATAGACTGTAGACCACCAGGCTCCCCTGTCCATGGGGATTCTCTAGGCAAGAATACTGGAGCGGGTTGCCATGCCCTTCTCTAGGGTATCTTCCCACCCCAGGGATCAAACCCAGGTCTCCCACACTGCAGGCCGATTCTTTACTCTCTGAGCCACCAGGAAGCTATTAAGGCACACATCAACTAATTTCAATTTAAGACTTACAAAATACCTGAATAAGATTAAGACCATAAAAGAGTACATAACAAAAGACTTGTAACATTCTCGATTTAAAGCACAATGTAAAATGACATTTATGTTATGTACATCTGCTCCCAGACACAATACTTGAGATACAACTTGGCCACATGCACATCCAACAATAGCACAGTGTCCCAGGGGAGGTTTCTGTAGCTCTTCTTACCCTGAGCAAACCCAACCCCAGCACCAGGATGGAGGTCAGACGTGCTGCTGGAGGTCAAAAGCAGTCCTCATTCGCCTTTTGACTAAATGCATAAGATTCAAGTGCTAAGTATTCTGTGATTTTTTTTTTAAGTAGACTTTTTTTTTTAAAGTGTCAGCAAATATGATTTTTTAAAAAATCAGGTTTCTATCAGTTGTTCTGTAGAGGTTTCATAGTGAATAGGATTAACAAAAATAGATCAGGTTTGATCATTTCACTTCACTATCTGGAATAAGATAGGTTTGGTCTTATTTTTTTTAAAGTTCCATTTGATATACCTCTTAAAAACAGTAGTTAAAAAATAAGTGTCCTATTAATTTCTGAGAGTTTGATATTGAAATTCCAACTAAAAATCTTAACTTATCTACATAAACAATTGTAATATGTAGTGGAACTATATGGAACTTTGTTCTGTATTCTCCAAAGTCTCCTATAAATGTGTTATCATACTTTCATAATTCCAAAAAACAGATAAAAAATAAAAAGGGCTCAGCAAATATAAACAAGGTCCTACTGTATAGAACAGAACTATATTCAATATTCTGTCATAAACCATAATGGAAAGGGAAGTATAGATGAAATATATTCCTTTCCAATATGAAAAGCAATGTATATGTGTATTCGTATGTATATGTATATATATAAAACTTTGAATATATATATGAATCACTTTGCTACACAGCAGAAACTAACACAGTGTTATAAATCAACAATACTTTAATAAAATAATTTTAAAAATAATTAAATGTACCTTTCAGTTATTATGATGACAGAGCAATCATCAGATATCAAGAAGGCCGTGTCCAAGCCAATAAAATGTACAACACTAAGGGTGAACCTTAATGTAAACTATGGACTTTGGGTGATTATGATACGTCAATATAGGCTCATCAGTTATAACAAATGTACCACTCTGGTGGGGGATTTGATAGTGGGAGAGAATATGCATATGTGAAGACAGGGGTATATGGGAAATTTCATGCTTCAATTTTTCTATGAACAAAAAACTGCTCAAA